GAGCCGGTCTGCATTTCCTGATGAGAAAACAAACCGATGCTTTTTGTAGTTGTAGTACACCAACACAAACGTGTGTTTTTTTCACCACAATGTTGGGGAAATTAATGGATAAAATGCACGTATTATTATTATTATTATTCCCACTCCGATCGGGACACCAGGTCCACCGTTTCCCCGCAGCGAGGCTCCCCCCGTTGACAGTTTACGTGGGCTGGGTGCAGTCGCGGACTGGCCATCGGGACGAATCCCGATGGGCCGGTACCGAAGTGGGCCGGTCGGATAAATCACTAGCACATCCCCCATAGGCGGCGCGTGAGGCTCAGGTTTGGGAAGGCTAAATAACTTTTTTTACCTGACGCTGCCCGGCTCCGGCGTCTATAGAAAAGAGATCAACTCAGTGTGTGGAGTTTAAATCTCTCAAGTCATATTACAGGATAAAGGAAATACAGCTTAAACTGCCGTATGCAGAGAAGACGCCGACGTGTCGCACTTATCATTCATATTACATCATCAATCAGATCATCGATCATATAATATCATAATATATCATATATTTCCTTATCTGCCGTGTCTGGCCGTGCAACACTTACAGTGTCACATACTGTATGCAGAAGTATTATTTTTAGCAACACATTATGTTGACGAAACACAGTCAAATGTAATTAAAGTCAGATCCACTCGTGTCTTAGACGTGAACGCGCTCTCAGCTGGAGAGAGAAACCCTGGCTTGATTTACCGAGTTGATAACCAGCGTCGTAGGACCGCTTAGCGAGATCTCGTTTGTTAGTTTGTTGTTGTTAGTTTGTTTGTTACTCAAACATATCCAGGGTCTGTTGAACTGGCTTCGTAGTACAGGGCACAGGTGGCTGGCAGCGCTAATGTCAAAGACACAGACATTGCATTATATTTGTATTTTACCAGGATGCAGTGACACAAATATTTACATATTTACATTTACTATCTACAGCACCCGCAGCCCCTGACATCCCCCACTCCCCCCGTTGACAACTTACTAGCGGTACCGAAGTGGGCCGGTCGAGAGTCCCGGGATGATTTTTAGTCCCAGTCCACCACTGGCTACATGACCGAATGATCGCCCATATTGACGCACCTAATTCCTAAACTTCTAACAGATTCAACATAAAGCGATCCTCCAGCCTCACATGAGCTCTCAGACACGTTCAACATTAAACTCTCATCGCTGTCTGAGCTTGCTGCTGTGTGCACCATCGTGCGTTTACATGCAGATGCTGGGATCCTGAACGGTGCAGCTGGAGCGCTGTGCCCGCAATGACGTCACACGTAATTTGGCGGGACTTGAAGAATCCCCGAGAAGATCCAGAAAATGGTCAACATTGAAGGGCAGATTAATGGTTATCAAAGTACAATTATCCAAAATCAGTTCAGTAACGGTTTTCAAGGGGACAATATTTACTCAAATTGATGGGTTTGGATGATGGGGGAAACTCGTGTCACAGGCTCTTTAAGTCATTTTATCTCAAGGGATTACGTTTATTTAAAAGCATGTTCTGATACCTTTACACAGTGTGAAGAAACGAAGACGACATCAAAATTATCGAGGGTTTAAAAAAACATTTATTGTTATTTCCACGTACATTTTTTGTAGAGGCATCATTCACAAAATAGGAACAGAAAAATTAATCAGACAAGAAAAATATATGTAGTCTTTTTCTTACATTATCAATATATATACACACACGTTGTAAAATAGGTTGTAACAAAAAGTAAAACCAAAGTGTAGCAGAAAGCGATGGCCACATCTGCAAAGTGAATACAGATGCAAAGAGTTTACAGTCTGACAAACATCAGATCCTTCTTCTGTTTTCACAGCTGTTTTATGGCTTCATTTATAAAGTCGATACAGAACAGAGTAAAGCCAATTCAAACGAGTAATAATTGGAAAAAACCCTAATCGTTTTAACTCCCCGTGGTGAAACACACACGTTAGACGCCATGCAGTCGAGCATCAGTCAGGCGTTATCGTACACAGACATGTACAAATCTCTGCACAGAAGCATATCTTCCAAGACGACAATATTACAAAAAAACACTCAATTTAGCATTACAAAACACACACACACACACACACACACACACACACACACACACACACACACACACACACTTTAGTCTCGAGGCCAAACAGCCCAGAGAAGAGAGGCCATTTGTAAAACAGCAAGACGATCAATGGTCCGAATCGGGCGCCGGAAGCCTTTACACTTTTAACTTTAGAAAAGATTCACCTTTAGTTGAACCGTTATCTCACTTGAATTGACATCACAGTGTGATTCTGATGCTTAACCACAAGGAGCGTAACACACAAAGTCCAGAACCGCAAGGATTAGTAGGAACGTAAAAAATCAATTTCCTGGTTATTTTTTCATGCAAAAAGTGGCAGAAAACGCTATTTTTCAGCCTATCAAATGAGCGATTTGCTGCTTTTCTAATTTAAATCATATCGAAGTTAATATCTTTGGGTTTTGGACAACAAGACATCACCTTGCATTTTTTTAGAAACTGGAATAGACATTTTTCACTATTCTCAGAAATGTCAGCGATAAATAAAAAATAATAGCATATATTGATAATTAAAATACTCGTTAGTGGCAGCCGTACACATGTCCTCCGATAACCAACGTGTGAAGAGTCATTATAAATACACTCAAAAAGGTCAAACGTGATTTTCATTTTCAGCATTAAAAAGGTAAACAAAGTGTAGAAGGCTGTTTTTAACGCTCCAATATTCAATTAAACTGTCCACCTGTGGTACATTCAGCACAAGACACACCGCACAACACCATAAGTCACTCTACACGATAGAAACAGCTGTAAACATTACCAGCTGTGATCAGATGGACATCAGGAATCTGCTGCTCCCTCTAATGGGCATTAAACTGTTGCATATAAATAATAATAACAATATTCCTTCGACGCAACTCAATCCTGAACACTTGTTATTTGGTTAAACTGACAAACTTCAGCAGATATTCACATGTGCATGAAATGTACAGATGTTTTTTAGACCCTCAGTCCCACTCCAGATGTTCAACACTGACACCAGATGTTTTTCTCACTCACAATGCAAGGTGAGAAGAAGCTTTAGTCGACGCCTTTTTCACATCAGATCACATGGGGGTCAGTTCAAATGAGATCTGGATGAGTTATGACAGGAAATGAATGCATATTAACCGCATTAAATATCTAATTCTGGATAAATTGAAAGTGAACTGACATCAGATGTTGTGTCGCCACCTGCTGGTCAGAACTGATACTGCAATCATGAACCACTGCAGGCAGGAGGGACACACACACTTTGTATAAAATGTACTGCAACTACTGATAAATACAATTTGGTTGTGATGACATTGGCCGGTGAGGTTGTGATATAGCTAGAGCGATGTTGTAAACACTTCAGGTTCAGAGGTCAGAGCAGGTCAGCCCTTATTTGGCAAAGAGTGTTGGAGTCTAAAGGCTGAAGACAGGCTGCAGAATCACTGATCGGCATGATATATATAGATAATTAGATATATAACATATGACTCTAAAACAACGGGTAGCTGCTTTCAAATGCATCTCCCAGGCAAGCAGCACGTTTTAAAGGAATACTCCACCCCAAAGTGACCATTTGTGGATCAATAACTCACCCTAAGTTACATTAAATACTTGAGGAATCTTAAAAAATACTAGATAAACTCTTGATGAATTGGAAAGATAACATGCATTTTCACTAAAACTGGCATGCTATTCGTCTAAAGTGTTCCAAATGTGTTTAGTAAGTATTGAGGATATGACTGGATGAATTAGACTTTAAACTGTGTTGGAGTTCATAAACGGATATTTGAAGTAGTTTTGCTGCTGTGCAATGTGTCTGTTTCTCTGTGGTAACTTGTATGAGATGTTGATACACAAATGATAAATGTAAGACGGGAAGTATTCCTTTTTGCAAACACACTTTAAAGGTGGGGTAGGTAAGTTTGAGAAACCGGCTCGAGATACACTTGTTATATTCCATGGAATGCTCTTAACATCCCGATAGCAATGAATATCTGAAGTGCTTTGACAACAAATCCATTAAAAAATCTCATCTGTGGAAGCCGTGGCGCTGTAGAAAGCACGACCAATCACCTGAGCCGGCTAAAGTAACTGGATGGCCTACCTGCCTGTCAGCCTTCCATCTGTTCAGACTTATCTCGTGCCCTCATTGGTCGCGTTCGTGTGTGTTGGAGGAGGGGCTCTGTGAGGAAGTGGCAGATTTTTTCCGGCTGTGTATTCTCTAATTCTAGCGCACTCGAGCTGCTTTCTCCAAATGTACCTACCCCACCTTTAAGCTGATTATTTAAGTTGCTATTATTTGTTTGAAAAAAAAAAGAAGACTGTTACACAGAAACAATAAATCACATGAACATCCAACATCCGTAATACCTGGGATGCTTTTTGGACATGGTTTTAAAAAAAGAAAAAGGAAGCAGCACGGCGTTGTTAGATAATCTACAAAGTGCAAATGCGCCAGCGCTCTCATTTCCAAATCCCTCAGTCTGAGGTCCTCTGTGAAACATCCATCTCAGGAAAGTTGCAGACCATAAATCCAACATTATGAGTTAAAAATAAAAAAGGCAAAGAAAATCTGTCACACAGGTCAACTGATCCATCTCCGTGGGATGTACTGCCTTTTCTAAAAAACTCGAAACATGTTCAAAACACTCCAGCTGTCCCTCCGCTCGTCCGCACTGCAGCTTTGTGCCGACGAAATGAAGCTTTTGGCACAAAAAAGTTTTTAAAAAGAAGCTCATATTCCTTCCTTCTCATCAATTACTGCTCAACACAAAATGAGTAAATAACACAAGGGTATATGTATATAGCTGAATGTGTGTGTGTGTGTGTGTGTGTGTGTGTGTGTGTGTGTGTGTGTGTGTGTGTGTGTGTGTGTGTGTGTGTGTGTGTGTGTGTGTGTGTGTGTGTCAGTCAGTGTGTGTGTCAGTCTGTGTGTGTGTGTGTGTGTGTGTGTGTGTGTGTGTGTGTGTGTGTGTGTGTCAGTCAGTGTGTGTGTGTGTGTGTGAGAGGGAACAATGCTGTCCTCCGGGGTTAGGTAGGTGTGAGATTAGCATGCGAAAAAATGCCAATGCCGTAGAATAGATGCTTCACAGTTGGGTGAAAATGATGCATCTCCATGGTTACTGTATGGTATGTGGATGCGGTTGCTCTGGGAGACCGTTGCCATGTTGACAAACTGAACTGTTGCGTTGCTTAAGGCATTGAATTAGGATGAGTGAGGATGTTCTCCTGTGGAAACAAGACGCAGAGGATGAGGGAAGAAAGTCCGATTTGTACCGAATCTACAGCCTGAAGAAGTGTTTCTCACCTCGTTAGGACTCGCTCTCGATGGAGATTGTGATGGTTTCACTTTCAGCTGAGGAGACAAACAGAACACATGTTAAAAAGAAAAACCCAAATCATATTTTCCAATGTTTTTCTGTCTAATGGGGACAACCATTTTGAGATTCGGTTCAGTATTGAGCGAGAGAGCTGCAGACAAAAGCCACTGAACAGGCCGTTCTGCATTATTAATGTTCAATAAATAATGTTTGCTACCTTTTTGATCCGCTCTGTTATTGTGTCTAGTAAAAACTGACATTTTGTGAGAGGGTTAAACCTCTCATCCATCAGCTAAATGTCTAGCCCTAATATTGTAGATCCTCAAAAACACACTTTCTTAACTTCAAAATAACAAACTCGTAGTCACATTTCCGCTTGTGTCTTCCGGCAACAAGTCACATGACCCAATAAAAGAAAGGGCGGATCAGGCTAAAGGTACATAAAAACATTTAATTTCTCCGTAGCCATGACGTTGTAAGACACTTATAATAACAATCTCGGTAGCGGCAAAAACAAAACGTAAAATGGACATTCATTGCAGCGCCTGAAGGATTATGTTGCATTTTGTTAAGCGTCTGCAAAGCTCAATACTGGATTTCATTAGTCATTTAGACAAAAGACAATAGGTTGAAAGATAACACATGTACCCTGAAAGTCTGAGTTATTAAAGGTTATTCTCCCAGTGGAGCTCACCTGGTGTGTTTGTCTCCTGATGCTCTGCGACGTTGTTGGCGTTCTGCTCGCTGCTCAGGAGGCGGTTCTGAGACTCGCTCACAGGACTCTCAGGGACTTCAGCAGCACTGCAAACACATACAAAATCATAAAAACATGGAATGAAGTCTGCATCCACAACCAAAAGCATCACTTTGTACCGTTTCTGTTTTTATGTAAAGTGTCTTTGAGCACCAGGAAAAGCGCTATAAAAATGTAATGTATTATTAAGATAAGACTTTATTCATCCCGAAGGAAATTGTTGTGCCAGAGTTACAAAAATACAATAAACACAGCAGCACAATAATAATACAACTGTACACTAACAGTGCAGTACAAAGAGCAATTCAATAACTACAGGAAACATAGACGGTTAGTATTTAGTACTGCAAAAAAAAACGTAGTGGTAGTTACGTAATTGCACGTTATATTATTATAACTACTTTGCAGTGCCTCGTGCTGAATTGTATTTCTAATATCTCACCTCTTGCTGGGCTCCTGCTGCAGGGTGACGGTGGCCTGCTGCTCCACGTCAGCGCTGACCAGCCGGGTGGGGAACGTCAGGCCGTCTCCCTGACTGAGGGGGGGGTTCAGAGAGAAAACAGTCAGCAGATACAAAACTGGCCCTTCCTACATCCAGGACATGGTTAAACCGTACACCCCAGCGCGTGCACTACGCTCTGCATCAGCCAAACGGCTCGTTGCGCCCTCGCTGCGAGGGGGACCCAAGTTCCCATCGGCGAAAACACGTGGGTTTGCTATCCTGGCTCCAAGATGGTGGAATGAGCTCCCCATTGACATCAGGACAGCAGATAGCTTGCACATCTTCCGGCGCAAACTGAAAACTCATCTCTTTCGACTCCACTTCGAGCGATAGAACGATTAACGAAGCACTTATATACTAATAAAGGGCTGGCTTATCTAAAGCCAGTTGAGTAGCACTTGAAATGTTTGGCTCTATGAAACCTGATGTACTTTATGATTCTGTTTTCTTCAAGGTTGTGTCTTCCTGGTCGAATGTACTTATTGTAAGTCGCTTTGGATAAAAGCGTCAGCTAAATGTAATGTAATGTAATGTAAAAAACTGCAGCAAAAGTAACAAGATATTCTATAAGACAAGACTCCCTTCATGGCATAAAAACATCTGATATTGTATTATCCTGGCCAGCATGATTGCTATTCAAAATATTATCCTGATAATGTGGACCTAAAACATGCTGAAGTCACTTTACCTAACATTTTGGTAAGAATCTAACATTTTAATTGCATGAGATAGGACATTTATTCTAAATAAACATCTCTTTTAAGTAAACATACTTATGAGGTAGTCAGAAATCATGAGTTTTTCTGGTCATAAAAGATAAAAACATTGCGTATATTACATGTTTTCTTACATGATGATAACTTAAATGAGGCTTATCACGATTATCGGAAAATTCCCCATGTTCCTCTTACTCCGAGTGTCGTGGTCCTTGATCAAAAAACATATCATCCAATCCCTAAAAAGCACTATGTGATTGTTTCATAATGTGTCCCCTCTACCTGGTGCAGACGGGCAGCAGCCAGAACTTCTTCTGGTCTCCAAACACCTGAGCAATATTCTTCCGGAAGCCCAGAGAGAAGCCGTTCTTATCGGAGCCGGCCCTGAACACCGGGGCTCTGAACGCCTCTGAAGAAAGAGGACAGAAACACAAGATAACACAGGCATATTTTAGAAGCACAACACTGCTCAAAAGTAAAGTAACACAAAGTAGTAATTGTGTTTTTGATTTGGTTAAATAACAGTAAGACATTCAATTTGTATGTATGTATGTAGGTATGTATGTATGTATGTAGGTAGGTATGTATGTATGTATGTATGTATGTATGTATGTATGTATGTATGTGTAGTGCATTGTCCTAATGACAGTAAGGTCCATATCTGGTAGAGACAAAAAGTGTCTAAATATCTGAATGAAGTTGTGCAGATATTATTTGACAGACTTCAATCTAATGTGGGTTGTTCTTAGATGGCATATGTTGGACTTAAAGTTATTAAAAGTTGCTTGATGTCTTCTTTACTCGTGCTGAAGAACACACACATCAACCTGCATGTTGTGTGTGTGTCTGAGAAGTTACTGTGTGTGTGTGTGTGTGTGTGTGTGTGTGTGTGTGTGTGTGTCAAGTCCAGTTAAAAAGTCAACTTCAATGAGAATGTACTTTGAAGTGACTGTTATTTTTGTATATATTGATTGTTGTGCTTTTATTTAGGTGTGTGTGTGTGTGTGTGTGTGTGTGTGTGTGTGTGTGTGTGTGTGTGTGTGTGTGTGTGTGTGTGTGTGTGTGTGTGTGTGTGTGTGTGTGTGTGTGTGTGTGTGTGTGTGTTACCTATAGTGGATCTGTTCTTCCCTACGAGCCACAGGTGGTAGCTGAAGAGAGACAGAATGCTGATGCAGAACATGGCCGCCACAAAAAAGAGAAACAAGACATGGAATTTGGCGTGAGTGTCTTTCAGCTCATTCTGGGGGGGAGAGAGGGGAGACAAGGGAGACAGGAATTAGTATTCACATGGAGGGTATGTATGGAAAGAAAGATATAGGAGAGAGAAAGTAGAAACGAGAGGAAAGGACCACGTCACATCACGACAGAGGTTACCTTTGGGCAGTTCTCTACCGATTTCCTCCGGCAAAGCTTTAGTACAAACAGAAACAGACTGGTTAGAGAAAAGGGAGAAGGAGGGGGAGACACTCGGGAATACCATCAAGGGTAAAGGGGGAGACACTCGGGAATACCATCAAGGGTAAAGGGGGAGACACTCGGGAATACCATCAAGGGTAAAGGGGGAGACACTCGGGAATACCATCAAGGGTAAAGGGGGAGTATGGAACCAGATTTGTGAATCAAAAAACGTTTTAAAAATCAGAATTTAAGACAAAATAAACCTCAGAGAAAAAGTGAAACTCGAAAGAAATCATTTGTGTAATCTATTTTTGTAACACATCTTATATCTTGACAAAAAGAACAATAGTTTACTGACACTGAAGTTTTGCTTGATCTTATGAGCACACATCTGACTCCATGGGTGCACAAGGGGAGAAACATGAAATAAAGAGAGAGTGGGTTTTACAAAGTGAGCGCAGATCAAAAGGGAAGACAGAGGAGGAGATGAGAGGAAAGTGAGGTGTTTGTGAGTGATGTGGAGAGACAGCCATCTCAGTACAAAGAGTCAGTGTGGAGGATGGGGGAGAGGTCAGGGGTCGAGAGAGGAAACATTAGAGGTCAGGGGTCGAGAGAGGAAACATTAGAGGTCAGGGGTCGAGAGAGGAAACATTAGAGGTCAGGGGTGAGAGAGGAAACATTAGAGGTCAGGGGTCGAGAGAGGAAACATTAGAGGTCAGGGGTCGAGAGAGGAAACATTAGAGGTCAGGGGTCGAGAGAGGAAACATTAGAGGTCAGGGGTCGAGAGAGGAAACATTAGAGGTCAGGGGTGAGAGAGGAAACATTAGAGGTCAGGGGTGAGAGAGGAAACATTAGAGGTCAGGGGTGAGAGAGGAAACATTAGAGGTCAGAGGTCGAGAGAGGAAACATTAGAGGTCAGGGGTCGAGAGAGGAAACATTAGAGGTCAGGGGTCGAGAGAGGAAACATTAGAGGTCAGGGGTGAGAGAGGAAACATTAGAGGTCAGGGGGTGAGAGAGGAAACATTAGAGGTCAGGGGTCGAGAGAGGAAAACATTAGAGGGTCAGGGGTGAGAGAGGAAACATTAGAGGTCAGGGGTCGAGAGAGGAAACATTAGAGGTCAGGGGTGAGAGAGGAAACATTAGAGGTCAGGGGTCGAGAGGCACGCACACAACACACACACACACACCACACACACACACACACACACACACACACACACACACACACACAACACACACACACAACACACACACACACACACACACCACACACACACACACACAACACACACACACACACACACACATCACACACACACACACACACACACACACACACACACACACACGACATCACACACACACACACACACCACACCACACAACACACACAACCACACACACACAACACACACACACACACACCACACACACACACACCACACACACACACACACACACACCACACACACACACACACACACACACACACACACAACTCACTGTCCAGAACTTGATGAAATACTGCAGCACGGTGGCTGCGATGAACAAACAGTACAGCAGCGAGTAAGCCAGGAAGAGGATGAAAAACTTGTAGTTGGAGAATCCGACACAGTTGTTCACCCTGCAGAGAAACACACAGAAGGTCAGGTGTGACATCACTTCCTGCGAGGAGAGGTCTTATCAAGATGGACTTCATTAAAAGAGGCTTCGTGGTCCTCTAATGATTACACTTCAGTAACAAATATTTTGTTAATCAAGGCAAGAGAACAAGAACCTCAACGTTTTTCGACACATTTCCTACGTGAAAATGGATAATTACAGAGACTTGTGCATTACTTCCTGGAGAGTATATCTTAAAAACACTCATTCATATGGATAACAAAGTAGTTTTTGAACAGCTTTGTCATGCTGCAATATGAGAAAATAGTTGAGTTTAAACTAAATCAGTATTTCCATTAACCATAAGGTCTCTTGTTGAGTGTGTGATGATCTGCTTTTATAGTATAGCAGATTAAACCAACCCCTAAGAGGGATTCACATTAAACAGCTTGACTGTAAATATGTTTGGTAAAAGGTTTGAACTATCCTGTGAGACAGCAGCTCGCTTACCAGGGACAATGGTGGTCCATCTTCAGCACACACCTGCCACACAGCAAGAGAAGATATATCGACAATGAAGGGGTGAGAGCCAATCAGAATGAATACATATCTTGTTTTAAAGTTAGATAATAAGGTTTCTTACATGTCGCAGGCGGAGCAGTGGTGGCAGCGGTCAGGTTTGATGACTTGACAGCGGTCGCAGTAACGGATTGCTGCAACAACAGGATGTCGTTATGGGAAAACTCAGAGATGCAAATTCACTCACACTCTTATAACATACACTTGCACCAAAAGTACACGCATCCTTTACTCAAGTAGAAGTACAGATACTCGTGTTTAAAAATACTCTGGTGAAAGTAGAAGTACTGACTAAACTTCTTTACTCAAGTAAAAGTAAAGAGGCTTTGAAATGTACTTCAGTAAAAAGTACCCATAACTAGCAGCTGCTTTAAAGAGTACCTGACCTCCCTTTATATTAATAGAACAATAATGTCATTGTTAGCTAATGAATGTTTCCATGCTGAACAACGGCAACATGACAACGTTTCCATTGGTCCCTCTTCTTTAGAGAAGACCAGGAAATGATGGATACACGGATCGTGTTCAAATCAATAGGCACGCAATGACTCTAAAGAATAATGATCACGCACCAAACACACATTCAGACTAAAGGAACCAGCTGTTTGGAAAATGAGAGAAGTAGAAAGTACAAGTATTTGAGTTCAACATGTAAGAAGTAGAAAGTACAGGTATTTGAGTTCAACATGTGAGAAGTAGAAAGTACAAGTATTTGAGTTCAACATGTAAGAAGTAGAAAGTACAGGTATTTGGGTTCAACATGTAAGAAGTAGAAAGTACAGGTATTTGAGTTCAACATGTAAGAAGTAGAAAGTACAGGTATTTGAGTTCAACATGTAAGAAGTAGAAAGTACAGGTATTTGAGTTCAACATGTAAGAAGTAGAAAGTACAAGTATTTGAGTTCAACATGTAAGAAGTAGAAAGTACAGGTATTTGTGTTCAACATGTAAGAAGTAGAAAGTACAGGTATTTGTGTTCAACATGTAAGAAGTAGAAAGTAATCAGAAAAATAAGTAGTGGAGTAAAGTACTGATACTAGAAAAATGCACTTAAGTACAGTAACAAAGTATTTGTACTCCACTACTGTTGGGGAAATATTTTCTTCTCAACTGACACACACACACACACACACACACACACACACACACACACACACCTCCAGCTCCTGTGCGGGTGTACAGAGGCAGACTAGTGGCAGCTCTCCATAAAATCTCCTGCTGATTCTCCGGCCTCTCCTCCTTCTCGTATCGCTCCTTCTCCACTTTGGGCAAACAGAACTGCAGTCATGAAAAAAAATTAAAAAGCAGATTTTAATGTGAGCATGGTAAAGCTGCAATTCAGGATTGTGATTCTAGATGATTTAATTGATCATTTTGTGGACAAACTGATGGTATTTTGACCCATATTGCACCGTATTTACACTGTAGTTCAAATTAGGGTTGCCATTTCAATAGCCCGATTATCAAAATAGCCTGAGATAACATTTTAGACAATTAGTCAACACAGCTTTAAAAACTGAGGATTTTCAGATACAAATAAAGATATTTAATTAAGAAAAGCAGAACATTTACATATTAAAGAGGCTGGTTGTGGATATTCAGGGCTTGTGTACCTCTTTGGAGGGGTTCGCAGGCTGGATGTAGATGGTCTTCCAGTACGACCATACGAACATGATGAAGAAGAGGTGGAAGAAGATCATGTAGACGACTGCAGGGAAACATGCAGCCACACGTCAGCACCAACAAGATAGAGTCACACGGAACAATTTGAAGCTTCGTTTATAACGTTGTCATTCAAATTCTGACTCAACATTTGAATGCTGCGTAGCTTTATTTGCATGTCTATTGCACAGTTGCAGATATAGATGAGGCTACCACTATAAGTAGAATAGAAGTTATAATTAAAAGAATTCACAACACGCTTTTATCTAACTAAATATTCTGCTTTATCCATATTTGTTCGAGTGTAGACTTTAACCGTTAGCCCTTCTAGAGACACACAAAGGGAGGTATTGATATAGCATTTATATAACAAATACATGTATTTACCGGTGAGTTATATTCATTAAAGCACCGTGGAATTCATTTTAAAACAAAGGGGCACACCTGTTTTAACTTCCAGCGTCTTATATTACATTTAGACTACCATAATGACATTTTGTTTTATGGTAACACTTTCTATTAAGGCACACTTATTCACCATCAACTAGTTGGTCATTAACATATTAGAGTCAAACTACTAGCTTATTGGTTATGAACAAGACGCCACTTTAACTCTGAGTTGGAAATACCACATTTGGAGTTATTTTGAAACAAATAACACTTTTAGTTTCACGTCTTGTTACATAAGAATATATTTGTTAAGTGTTATTATAGGAGAATTACTATTCTTGTGGTACTGCTGCCTTATTAGGCTCATATTGAGCATATTAAGACCAAAACTCATGTACAACAACTTCCTAACTTGCAACAAATCAGCACTAATTAGAGGTGTTAGAGCCACAAAGTTATTATTTCGATTCATAATTTGATAAATGATTTAATGATGGAAAATGATTTATATTGCCATGGTGAATATGTTTTGATGAAATGATTGTTAATTTTACATCGTAAATATGATCTGTTTCCTTGTACCTTCCGGTGTGTATTTAAGTGAGGTAATTGAGGACAGCCGGCGTGCTCGGAGACCTGATGAGACGGGGAGCGGAACAGTTTTTCGACCGCAAATTGCAGACAGAGATTGGTGTTGCAAATTGAACTGCAAACAAAGTATAGTTTAGTTTATATAGGAAAGCATATCGCCGAAATACTGTTTAAAGATTTGTTATTTTGAGACTATTTAAGTCAATACTTTTTTGTTAATAAATTAAAAAAATTTTGACTGAAAACCTTCGGCTGCTTATTGTTTTGGATTGCGTGCCGTCAACCCCGCTCTATAGTGGCAAGAGGAAACCTTGATGCCACTACATCAAGTCGAAAAACTCCGTAAGGAAGAGACACACACCGATTGGATCCCCGGAAAAGAGGGACACACCGGAGCGGACAGACTGGGCCGGTCGTGAGTAAATAAAGGGAATAAATCCGTGTACGCATTGATTGGAATGTCGGACGTGAGGAAATCATAACGGCGATGAGGAAAAACTCTCAACTAATGGCTTATTACTTGTAGAATATGGTCATGCAGAATAAGGCGTGTTTTATAATGACTAATAAAGAGCCAATATACTGCTAATATGCATGTTGATGAACAACTAGTTGATGGTTAATTTGTGTACCTTAATATAAAGTGTTGCCGTTTTTATTTACTGGCAGGTTATATTCATACAAAAAGACTAACTTGGTCAATGCAATGAATCACTCTTTAAAAGAAAATAGCATTTGGTCGAGGGTTTTCTATTTTAGCCCGATGACAGGATAACATATGAGAACAGCTTCCTAAGAAAACCTCAACAGAAGCTTTAAATGTAAAAATAAATCTTCTAGTGTGCAGTACCATTAAAACACATTGGCATTAAAACGTGAATGTAAGAGCCTGCTGCTGTCACTTTGGATTTGTGGAGCCGCTGTACGTCTACATATTAAATTCATGAGCTGAGAGACGCTTCCTGTGCCAGCCCTTCTGTTTTTAGCAAAGTGTACAGAACATATTTCACCTGCCAGACACAGAAAAGAGAGCAACTCCATTCTGTAAAACTCCATTCAGTGTTATATAAACATTATTTTTAAATGAACAGCACACTTACTCTTCTCTCCTATACTGATGATGGTGTCTGTAAGAGATAGAACAAAGCATTAGATAAGAAGACATTGTGTAAAAGTAGAAGTACTGACTAAACTTCTTTACTCAAGTCAAAGTAAAGAGGCTTTGAAGTGTACTTCAGTAAAAAGTACCCATAACTAGCAGCTGTTTTAAAGAGTACCTGACCTCCCTTTATATTAATAGAACAATAATGTCATTGTTAGCTAATGAATGTTTCCATGCTGAACAACGGCAACATGACAACGTTTCCATTGGTCCCTCTTCTTTAGAGAAGACCAGGAAATGATGGATACACGGATCGTGTTCAAATCAATAGGCACGCAATGACTCTAAAGAATAATGATCACGCACCAAACACACATTCAGACTAAAGGAACCAGCTGTTTGGAAAATTAGAGAAGTAGAAAGTACAAGTATTTGAGTTCAACATGTAAGAAGTAGAAAGTACAGGTATTTGAGTTCAACATGTAAGAAGTAGAAAGTACAGGTATTTGTGTTCAACATGTAAGAAGTAGAAAGTAAAGGTATTTGAGTTCAACATGTAAGAAGTAGAAAGTACAGGTATTTGTGTTTCAACATGTAAGAGTAGAAAGTACAGGTATTTGGGTTCAACATGTAAGAAGTAGAAAGTACAGGTATTTGGTTCAACAGGTAAGAAGTAGAAAGTACAAGTATTTGAGTTCAACATGTAAGAAGTAGAAAGTACAGTATTTGAGTTCAACAGGTAAGAAGTAGAAAGTACAGGTATTTGGGTTCAACATGTAAGAAGTAAAAAGTACAGTATTTGAGTTCAACATGTGAGAAGTAGAAAGTAACAGGTATTGATGTTCACAGTGTGAAGAAGTAGAAAGTAAACAGGTATGTTGAGTTGCACATGTGAAGAAGTAGAAAAGTACAGGTATTGTAGTTCAACATGTAAGAAGTAGAAAGTACATGGTTTTGAGTTCAAACATGTAAGAAGTATAAAGTACAGGGTAATTTGAGTTCAACATGTAAGAAGTAGAAAGAATACAGGTATTTGTGTTCAACATTGTAAGAAGTAGAAAGTACAAGGTATTTGGAGTTTCCACATGTAAGAAGTAGAAAGTACCAGGTATTTGAGTTTCACCATGTAAGAAGTAGAAAGTCCACAGGTATTTTGGTTCAACATGTAAGAAGTAGAAAGTACAGGTATTTGTGTTCAACATCGGTAAGAAGTAGAAAGTACAAGGTATTGTGATTCAACATGTAAGTAAAGTAGAAAGTACAGGGTATTTGTGTTTCAACATGTGAAGTAGAAAAGTACGGTATTTGAAACATGTAAGAAGTAGAAAGAAGTACAGGTATTTGAGTTCAACATGTAAGACGTAGAAGTACAGGTATTTGGTTCAACATGTAAGAAGTAGAAAGTACAGGTATTTGAGTTCAACATGTAAGAAGTAGAAAGTACAGGTATTTGTGTTCAACATGTGAGAAGTAGAAAGTACAGGTATTTGGTTTCAACATGTAAGAAGTAGAAAGTACAGGTATTTGTGTTCAACATGTAAGAAGTAGAAAGTACAGGTATTTGAGTTCAACATGTAAGAAGTAGAAAGTATAGTATTGTGTTCAACATGTAAGAAGTAGAAAGTACAGGTATTTGTGTTCAACATGTAAGAAGTAGAAAGTACAGGTATTTGAGTTCAACATGTAAGAAGTAGAAAGTACAGGTATTTGTGTTCAACATGTAAGAAGTAGAAAGTACAGGTATTTGTGTTCAACATGTAGAAGTAGAAAGTACAGGTATTTGTGTTCAACATGTAAGAAGTAGAAAGTACAGGTATTTGTGTTCAACATGTAGAAGTAGAAAGTACAGGTATTTGAGTTCAACATGTAAGAAGTAGAAAGTACAGGTATTTGTGTCACATGTGAAGTAGAAAGTACAGGTATTTGGTTCAACATGTAGAAGTAGAAAGTACAGGTATTTGTGTTCAACATGTAAGAAGTAGAAAGTACAGGTATTTGTGTTCAACATGTAGAAGTAGAAAGTACAGGTATTTGAGTTCAACATGTAAGAAGTAGAACAGTACAGGTATTTGAGTTCAACATGTAAGAAGTAGAAAGTACAGGTATTTGAGTTCAACATGTGAAGAAGTAAGTAGAAAGTACAGGTATTTGTGTTCAACATGTAAGAAGTAGAAAGTACAGGTATTTGAGTTCAACATGTAAGAAGTAGAAAGTACAGGTATTTGAGTTCAACATGTGAGAAGTTAGAAAGTACAGTATTTGAGTTCAACATGTAAGAAGTAGAAAGTACAGGTATTTGAGGTTCAACATGTAAGAAGTAGAAAGTACAGGTATTTGAGTTCAACATGTAAGAAGTAGAAAGTACAGGTATTGAGTTCAACATGTAAGAAGTAGAAAGTACAGGTATTGAGTTCAACATGTAAGAAGTAGAAAGTACAGGTATTTGAGTTCAACATGTAAGAAGTAGAAAGTACAGGTATTTGAGTTCAACATGTAAGAAGTAGAAAGTACAGGTATTTGAGTTCAACATGTAGAAGTAGAAAGTACAGGTATTTGGGTTTCAACATGTAAGAAGTAGAAAGTACAGGTATTTGAGTTCAACATGTTAAGAAGTAGAAAGTACAGGTATTTGGGTTCAACATGTAAGAAGTAGAAAGTACAGGTATTTGGGTTCAACATGTAAGAAGTAGAAGTACAGGTATTTGGGTTCAACATGTGAGAAGTAGAAAGTACAGGTATTTGGGTTCAACATGTAAGAAGTAGAAAGTACAGGTAATTGGGTTGGGTTCAAACATGTGAGAAGTAGAAAGTACAGGTATTTGAGTTCAACATGTTAAGAAGTAGAAAGTACAGGTATTTGAGTTCAATATGTAAGAAGTAGAAAGTACAGGTATTTGAGTTCAACATGTAAGAAGTAGAAAGTACAGGTATTTGTGTTCAACATGTAAGAAGTAGAAAGTACAGGTATTTGGTTTCAACATGGTAGAAGTAGAAAGTACAGGTATTTGGTTCAACTATGTGAGAAGTAGAAAGAGTACAGGGTATTTGTGTTCAACATGTAAGAAGTTAGAAAGTACAGGTATTTGAGTTCAACATGTAGAGTGAGAAGTACAGGTTTTGGTTTTTCACATGTAAGAAGTAGCAGGTAATGTTTGAGTGCAACATGTAAGAAGTAGAAAGTACAGGTATTTGAGTTCAGACATGTAGACGAAGTAGAAGAAGTACAGGGTATTGATGGTTCAACATGTAAGACTAGAAAGTACAGGTATTTAGTTCAACATGTAAGAAGTAGGAAAAGTACAGGTATTGAGTTCAACATGTAAGAAGTAGAAAGTACAGGTGTATTTGATGTTCAAACATGTAAGAAGTTAGAAGTACAGGTAGTTGAGTTCAAACATGTAGAGAAGTAGAAAGTACAGGTATTTGAGTTCAACATGTAAGAAGTAGAAAGTACAAGGTAATTTGAGTTCAACATGTAAGAAGTAGAAAGTACAGGTATTTGAGTTCAACATGTAAGAAGTAGAAAGTACAGGTTATTTGTGTTCAACATGTAAGAAGTAGAAAGTACAGGTATTTGAGTTCAACATGTAAGAAGTAGAAAGTACAGGTATTTGAGTTCAACATGTAAGAAGTAGAAAGTACAGGTATTTGTGTTCAACATGTAAGAAGTAGAGAAGTACAGGTATTTGGGTTCAACATGTAAGAAGTAGAAAGTACAGGTATTTGAGTTCAACATGTAAGAAGTAGAAAGTACAGGTATTTGGGTTCAACATGTAAGAAGTAGAAAGTACAGGTATTTGAGTTCAACATGTAAGAAGTAGAAAGTACAGGTATTTGAGTTCAACATGTAAGAAGTAGAAAGTACAAGGTATTTGAGTTCAACATGTAAGAAGTAGAAAGTACAGGTATTTGAGTTTCAACATGTAAGAAGTAGAAAGTACAGGTATTTGTGTTCAACATGTAAGAAGTAGAAAGTACAGGTATTTGGGTTCAACATGTAAGAAGTAGAAGTACAGGTATTTGAGTTCAACATGTAAGAAGTAGAAAGTACAGGTATTTGAGTTTCAACATGTAAGAAGTAGAAAGTACAGGTATTTGAGTTCAACATGTAAGAAGTAGAAAGTACAGGTATTTGAGTTCAACATGTAAGAAGTAGAAAGTACAGGTATTTGTGTTCAACATGTAAGAAGTAGAAAGTACAGGTATTTGGGTTCAACATGTAAGAAGTAGAAAGTACAGTATTTGGGTCAACATGTAAGAAGTAGAAAGTACAGGTATTGGTTCAACATGTAAGAAGTAGAACGTACAGGTATTTGGTTCAACATGTAATGAAGTAGAAAGTACAGGTATTTGAGTTCAACATGTAAGAAGTAGAAAGTACAGGTATTTGAGTTCAACATGTAAGAAGTAGAAAGTACAGGTCTTTGAGTTCAACATGTAAGAAGTAGAAGTACAGGTATTGAGTTCCAACATGTAAGAAGTAGAAAGTACAGGTATTTGTAGTTCAACATGTAAGAAGTAGAAAGTACAGGTATTTGTGTTCAACATGTGAGAAAGTAGAAAGTACAGGTATTTGTGTTCAACATGTGAGAAGTAGAAAGTACAGTATTTGTGTTCAACATTGTAAGAAGTAGAAAGTACAGGTATTTGTGTTCAACATGTAAGAAGTAGAAAGTACAGGTATTTGTTCAACATGTAAGAGTAGAAAGTACAGGTATTTGAGTTCAACATGTAAGAAGTAGAAAGTACAGGTATTTGAGTTCAACATGTAAGAAGTAGAAAGTACGTAGGTATTTGAGTTCAACATGTAAGAAGTAGAAGTACAGGTATTTGTGTTCAACATGTAAGAAGTAGAAAGTACAGGTATTTGGTTCAACATGTAAGAAGGTAGAAGTACAGGTATTTGAGTTCAACATGTAAGAAGTAGAAAGTACAGGTATTTGGTTCAACATGTAAGAAGTAGAAAGTACAGGTATTTGAGTTCAACATGTAAGAAGTAGAAAGTACAGTGTATTTGTTCAACATGTAAGAAGTAGAAAGTACAGGTATTTGGGTTCAACATGTAAGAAGTAGAAAGTACAGGTATTTTAGTTCAACATGTAAAGAAGTAGAAAGTACAGGTATTTGAGTTCAAACATGTAAGAAGTAGAAAAGTACAGGTATTTGTGTTCAACATGTAAGAAGTAGAAAGTACAGGTATTTGTGTTCAACATGTAAGAAGTAAAAGTAAAAAGTCGTCGTAGTGGAGTAAAGTACTGATACCAGAAAAATGTACTTAAGTACAGTAATGAAGTATTTGTACTCCACTACTTCCCACCTTTTGTTTATTCCACCTTCTGGGTTTAAGGCTTTTGTCTTGGATCCGATTGTAACACTCAACATTAAAGAATAAAACAAAGAGGAATCAATAAAACGCAGACAGAGTTGAAACTCTATTTCAGTATCAACTTTTAGAGCTAATTTCTGCTTTTTTTAAATCTAGAAAATAACACTGCTCATCACTCCCGATAAAGCGTAGATTAAAACAATGGGACTAACTAATCTAGTCTCGCCTGACACCACTACAGAAATACAATTAAAACATACACATATAAACAAATCAAAGTGTGTATGAGGGTCAGGAAGTGTATTTGACTGCCAGCGCAGTTTAAATATAGACGACAACATGTATTAAAACAAGATGAACTGGAGGTGAACTTTTCACAAGTACATGAAAGTACACCCTGTTTCAAATTAGATCAAATCTAATCTTTTGATCCGGATATGAAAAGGTTTGGGAACTCCTTAAATACACAAAAGGATATTAACATCATGTGGCATTCAAATAAGTCAACAAAGCGATGGCAGATAATTAACTGTCAGCACCCGTGATTTGTGTCATTTAGTAACTGTGTTGTACCGTTTGTGTTATTGTTATGTCTCCTTTTAGTGTCTCATTTGGTAACACTTATTCTCACCAGGGGTTTTAATAACATACCATTAATTTAAGGTTTTATTTTCCTAACAGGTTTATCTTATAACACAAAGCGACAGATAATTAGCTGTAACTTGATTGATTTGGGTCACTTAGTTATTGTCTGGCTCTGTTTGTATTATGTGTGTCTCTTTACAGTTATGTTAACCTTTTTTGCAGTTTTGAGTGTCTTTGCATCTGTTTTTTAAATAAAAACATATTACATTGTGTTTCTCTAATTGGTAATAACGCTGAAAATGCTCGATCTCCATAATGAAAAATATCAGAGGTGTATTAACGCTCATTAGTGGTTTTAAAGGGAAAGTGAGCATCTGGAAGCCAGTTAAATACCATTAAATTACCGATTTATTCTCCTTTTTGCTCCACAAACACAATCCTCACATCAAAAAACGAGTTTATCTTTAACAAAGCACACGTGGCATTAAATATATGATGTGAAAACAGAAGATAATTAGCATTATGAGGATACATCAGCGGCTGCAGCCCGTTTACTTCCTGTGTTTGTGCGGCGCCTCAGTGGAAACACCGGCGTTTGGAGGCTCTAACCCCGGCTACAGACGGCTACAGACGGCTACTCACAGAGACAAAGCTCCACCACGTAGGCGTAGTAGGACCAGCAGACCACCGCGGCGATGAAGATGACAGGAATCCATGCTAAAGTCCGCTGACAGCATCTCAGGACGTGAGTGGGCGCCATCTTTACCCTCAGTGTGGGGAAGGGAGTGTCGCGGTGACGTCACGCCTTTGGAAACATGTTTTTTTAGGGGCAAATTCATTTAATTTATTTTACGAAAAACAGCAGTGTGGCAACACTATGGATATTGGATACACACAATTAATAGGAATAATACACTTCGTTTATTTTATTTAAAAAATAATTAAATATCATCTTTTTCTTCTTTAGTTTAATTTAATTTCCCCATTTTATTATTATTATTATTATTTCTTATTAGTATGGATAATTTTACATTTATTATATACTGAAGAAATTATCTTTTTGTTAGATTTATTTTTTAAATAATGTTTGACTTTAATAAAACTTCGGCACTAAACTGTCAATATAGAAATATTTAAATTGTTATATTATATTTAATTATTGTGTTGACTGGGATCATTTCTATGGGGATCCATCAAAAACCAAACTACTATGGTCGTACTGTACATTGTTTAATTATGTATAAAAAACTGTAAAATATTTTCAATAAAGTTCGGAGAAAAAAATTGTCTGGGAAAAACACGAGTTCATTGTTTATAAAAAGGAGTTTTTACAACTTCTGGTTTGTTACCCAAAAAAACCACTACAAAAATACTACTTATGGGTTTCATATTAACATATTTTAATTCTATTTGCATGAAGTAATTTCATATGCTTAAATCTGACTTTAGGGGTTAATTTACTGTAAGCCTGCCCTCGGGTCAGCACCAGGAAGCAAAAATAAACCTTTAGACTCTGAGGTGGACAATAAAGATTAACTGATTGTAGACAAGACAAAGGACACATGGACCGCAATTGTAGGCGAAGAAGTTGACGCTAAAAGTAAAAGTAATCTCCCTTAATCCGTAAAATGACTTCTGTTGACATGCATGTGGACGCTTATTTGTCTCGCATCGGGTTCTCTGGTTCCCCCTCGCGCAGCCTGCACGTGCTGCGGTCGGTGCACACCTGTCACCTGCTGTCCGTGCCCTTTGAGAACCTGACGGTGCACAGCGGGGGGCGCGTGCAGCTGGACCCGCCTCACCTGTATGAGAAGCTCGTGCTGCAGCGCAGTGGGGGGTTCTGCTACGAGAATAACTCCCTGTTTGCATGGCTGCTGACCCAGATGGGCTTCCAGGTGAAGTAGTGGAGTACAAATACTTCGTTTCTGTGCTTAAGTACATTTTTCTGGTATCAGTAGCCTACTTTACTCAACTACTTATTTTTCTGACGACTTTTTACTTTCACTTCTTACATGTTGAACCCAAATACCTGTACTTTCTACTTCTCTCATGTTGAACCCAAATACCTGTACTTTCTACTTCTTACATGTTGAACACAAACACCTGTACTTTCTACTTCTTACATGTTGAACACAAATACCTGTACTTTCTACTTCTTACATGTTGAACACAATACCCTGTACTTTCTACTTCTACATGTGAACCACAAATACTGTACTTCTCTTCTTACATGTTGAACACAAATACCTGTACTTTCTACTTCTTACATGTTGACACAAATTACCTGTACTTTCTACTTCTTACCATGTTGAACTCAAATACCTGTACTTTCTACTTCTTACATGTTGAAACCCAAATACCTGTACTTCTACTTCTTACATGTTGAACTCAAATACCTGTACTTTCTACTTCTTACATGTTGAACACAAATACCCTGTACTTTCTACTTTCTTACATGTTGAACTCAAATACCTGTACTTTCTACTTCTTACATGTTGAACTCAAATACCTGTACTTTCTACTTCTTACATGTTGAACCAAATACCTTGTACTTTCTACTTCTTACATGTGAAAACACAAATATCCTTGTCCTTTCTACTTCTTACATGTTGAACTCAAATACCTGTACTTTCTACTTCTTACATGTTGAACTCAAATACCTGTACTTTCTACTTCTTATATGTTGAACCACAAATACCTGTACTTTCTACTTCTTACATGTTGAACCCAAAATACCTGTACTTTCTACTCTTACATGTTGAACTCACTTCTTACATGTTGAACTCAAATACCTGTACTTTCTACTTCTCTCATTTCCCAAACAGCTGGTTCCTTTAGTCTGAATGTGTGTTTGATGCGTGATCATTATTCTTTAGAGTCATTGCGTGCCTATTGATTTGAACACGATCCGTGTATCCATCATTTCCTGGTCTTCTCTAAAGAAGAGGGACCAATGGAAACGTTGTCATGTTGCCGTTGTTCAGCATGGAAACATTCATTAGCTAACAATGACATTATTGATCTATTAATATAAAGGGAGGTCAGGTACTCTTTAAAACAGCTGCTAGTTATGGGTACTTTTTACTGAAGTACATTTAAAAGCCTCTTTACTTTTACTTGAGTAAAGAAGTTTAGTCAGTACTTCTACCTTTACCAGAGTATTTTTAAACACGAGTATCTGTACTTCTACTTGAGTAAAAGATGTGTGTACTTTTGCCATCTCTCCAGGTGACCCTGCTCTCCGCCCAGGTGAAGAACAAAACGACGGGCTTCTACGGGCCTCCTTTTGACCACCTGGTTGTCATGGTGACCCTGGACGGGCAGCACTGGCTCTGTGATGTTGGGTTTGGGGGCCCGGGCTTCAGGACCCCCCTCTCGTTGGACACCAGGGGCCCCCAGGAGCAGGGACACAGAGTGTACCGCATCACAGAGCAGAGGTGGGAAGGGACTGAGTACCTTTAAGTTTAAAGGCTTTTATTGTCGTATAGCTACAGTGTAGACATGTCAATGAAAATCTTAGGTCACAGACTCCTCCAAGAGCAACACAATAAAACAGATACAATTGTTAAAATTGTGAAATAATAGGGAAAAAAGACAGAGTTGGAGAGGAGCCAAAGACATGGCAGCCATCATCATATCAAAACTGGTAAAGGTGCAGCTAAAAAACTAGCTGCACCTTTACCAGTTTTGATAAAGACTTTAATGCATCAATAATTACAATCAGAGCATATAATGTATATCATCCTGAAATGGGTCAATCTATATAATAAGTACTTTTACTTACTTTTGGTACTTTAAGTATATTTTGATGCTATTATTTTTTTAACTTTTACTTGAGTAACATTTTGAATGCAGGACTTTTACTTGTAACAGAGTATTCTACAATCTGGTCCTTCTACTTTTACTTAAAGCTCTCCCATTATACTGTTAGTCATCAATATATCACAGGTCTCAGATATATACAGAACCTGTCTCTGATTGGCTGAAACACCAAACAGATCATTGCAGCATTACCCATAATCCCCTCTGTTTCAGCCCTGTTTCCAAAGTGCTGATTCTCTGTCTGTTACTTTAGATGAAAATAAGGAGCCCCTCCCCACGCCCCTCTGAGAGACATTTGGTTACAAAGAACTCAATGGTGCTCTAGGAGGAGATCCAGGTGATAAGGGGGGGGGAGGGGGTTACCTTGGTTGGTGATTGGCTAATGGTTACCAGTGGCAAACCGTGTCTATCACAACTGGACCTTCTGTAGACACACACACACACACACACCCCCCCCCCCCGCCCCCCCAAACTGTCAATCCAAACGCTCTCATTCAGTGTGAGGGCCAGGGCATTCTATCAAGGATGTAGAATACCTTGTTGAAGGATATTCTACCCAGAGACCCAGAAAAATATCTGATTATTTGCATTTTTTTTCTAACACAAAACCACGGAAATGCGTAGTGCATGGACCGAGAAGAACAAACCAATCAACGTAACACCATATTACAGATCAACAACACAGATACCATTCTCATTTATTCATTTTATTTACATTTTATTTATATAATTAAATCGATTTTTTGTTTGTTTTATCTGAGTGTTCCAGGGTATTCTCTGAATACCTTGAAGGCCCTGACGGTTCACCACTGATGGTTACACAAGCCAAAAAATCGTTATGACATCATAAAGTGGCCAAAATCTGATCAGCTCATTTTCAGACAGGTTTTTATAGAAATGGATCAAAAAGAGAGAGAATCTTTTGTTCCTGAAACTTTCAGAGACATGAAGAAAAGGGGACACATGTTGATGTAGAAGAGACATGAAGAAGAGGGGACACATGATGATGTAGAAGAGACATGAAGAAGAGGGGACACATGTTGATGTAGAAGAGACATGGAGAAGAGGGGACACATGCTGATGTAGAAGAGACATGTAGAAGAGGGGACACATGATGATGTAGAAGAGACATGAAGAAGAGGGGACACATGTTGATGTAGAAGAGACATGGAGAAGAGGGGACACATGCTGATGTAGAAGAGACATGAAGAAGAGGGGACACATGTTGATGTAGAAGAGACATGAAGAAGAGGGGACACATGATGATGTAGAAGAGACATGAAGAAGAGGGGACACATGTTGATTGTAGAAGAGGACATGGAGAAGAGGGGGACACATGCTGATGTAGAAGAGACATGAAGAAGAGGGGACACATGTTGATGTAGAAGAGACATGAAGAAGAGGGGACACATGTTGATGTAGAAGAGGACTGAAGAAGAGGGGACACATGTTGATGTAGAAGAGACATGAAGAAGAGGGGACACATGATGATGTAGAAGAGACATGAAGAAGAGGGGACACATGTTGATGTAGAAGAGACATGAAGAAGAGGGGACACATGATTGATGAAGAAGAGACATGGAAGAAGAGGGGACACATGTTGATGTAGAAGAGACATGAAGAAGAGGGGACACATGTTGATGTAGAAGAGACATGAAGAAGAGGGGACACATGTTGATGTAGAAGAGACATGAAGAAGAGGGGACACATGTTGATGTAGAAGAGACATGAAGAAGAGGGGACACATGTTGATGTAGAAGAGACATGAAGAAGAGGGGACACATGTTGATGTAAGAAGAGACATGAGAAGAGGGGACACATGTTGATGTAGAAGAGACATGAAGAAGAGGGGGACACATGTTGATGTAGAAGAGACATGAAGAAGATGGGGACACATGTTGATGTGGAAGAGACATGAAGAAGAGGGGATACATGTTGATGTAGAAGAGACATGAAGAAGAGGGGATACATGTTGATGTAGAAGAGACATGAAGAAGAGGGGACACGTGTTGATGTAGAAGAGACATGAAGGAGAGGGGACACATGTTGATGTAGAAGAGACATGAAGGAGAGGGGACACATGTTGATGTAGAAGAGACATGAAGGAGAGGGGACACATGTTGATGTAGAAGAGACGTGAACAAGTGGATTTAGCATAATAGGTGACCTTTAAATACAAGCTCTGTTCTCCCACCTGTCAGGAATGAAAGTTCAGGGATGCTCTTCCTGGAGTGGCAGCAGGAGGAGAACAGAGGAGAAGATGGAGACTGGACGGAGATCTACAAGTTAACCCTGGACCCTCGTCGCATGGAGGACTACGCCGAGATGTGTCAGTTCCACCAGAGCTCTCCATGCTCTCTCTTCTTCTGCAAGTCCCTGTGCACCATCCTCACCCCCGAGGGGAGGCTCACCTACATCGGCCGCAGACTGACCACCACCACGTTCCCAAAAGAGGGGTCTGTGCTGGAGACCTCCACCAGGGATCTGCAGGACGACGAGATACCCGGCGTTCTCAAGGACAAGTTTGGAATTGTGCTCAAATCTCCGCTCATACCAAAGGATGAGCCGATGACACCACTTCCAGTCATCTATTGATCTTCTTTACACCTTCATATATGGGTGGATTATGAGCAGACATGCAAAAGGCATCTCCTTTGTGTCTCTGTGTAGTCATTCTGTGTCTCTATTAAGTATATCCATGTATGTGTGTGTCTCTATTAAGTATATCCATGTATGTGTGTGTCTCTATTAAGTATATCCATGTATATGTGTGTCTCTATTAAGTATATCCATGTATATGTGTGTCTCTATTAAGTATATCCATGTATATGTGTGTCTCTATTAAGTATATCCATGTATATGTGTGTCTCTATTAAGTATATCCATGTATATGTGTGTCTCTATTAAGTATATCCATGTATATGTGTGTCTCTATTAAGTAATCCATGTATATGTGTGTCTCTATTAAGTATATCCATGTATATGTGTGTCTCTATTAAGTATAATCCATGTATATGTGTGTCTCTATTAAGTATATCCATGTATATGTGTGTCTCTATTAAGTATATCCATGTATATGTGTGTCTCTATTAAGTATATCCATGTATATGTGTGTCTCTATTAAGTATATCCATGTATATGTGTGTCTCTATTAAGTATATCCATGTATATGTGTGTCTCTATTAAGTATATCCATGTATATGTGTGTCTCTATTAAGTATATCCATGTATATGTGTGTCTCTATTAAGTATATCCATGTATATGTGTGTCTCGATTAAGTATAATCCATGTTATGTGTGTCTCTAGTTAAGTATATCCATGTATATGTGTGTCTCTATTAAGTATATGTATATGTTTGTCTCTATTAAGTATATCCATGATATGTGTGTCTCTATTAAGTATATCCATTATGTGTGTCTCTATTAAGTATATCCATGTATATGTGTGTCTCTATTAAGTATATCCATGTATATGTGTGTCTCTTTTAAGTATATCCATGTATATGTGTGTCTCTATTAAGTATATCCATGTATATGTGTGTCTCTATTAAGTATATCCATGTATATGTGTGTCTCTATTAAGTATATCCATGTATATGTGTAGTCATTCTGTGTCTCTTTTATGTCTTGTTTCTTTGTAATTGCTTTGCCCCTTTTTGTGGTCGTTGCAAGCATCTATGCAACTGTTTACTCAGCCTGTGTAGTTATTTGGATCCCTTTGTACTATATTTGTGTCTCTTTGAAGTCGTTTGGCTTCTTTGAGGTTATTTTTAGTCACTTCCTGGTTGGTACTATGGGTGTAAATCACAAGTTTCATCACAAAACAGAATGATAACAACACATATGCTGATTTCACAGTCTGCCATGATACAATTTAGATTCAGGTGCCCATTTAACACATTTCCATCATGTCACAAAAGCAACTAACATTTGATTTGACAATTTTATTACAGGGCACTAGCAGACAAAAAAACCCCGATCTTTCAGTTAGGCGGTGCACTTGGACGGATATGGAGACACAGACGTGCCATGGAAATCTTAAAGTAAAGGTGATGATATGTATCTGTTTCCACTTCAATATGAGTCTATTGAATTCATAATCATCGAATTGTAACACCCCTAGTTGGTACGTGTCGCTTTGAGTGGTATTTTATAGAAAAACGTAGGTGAAAAATCTTGTCATTGAGATCTGTCTTTGTTTCATACAAGTTTTTTAACTTTCATGTTTAAATACAAAACTTCCACACCCAAATCAACCAGTTACAAAACATCCACATTATGCAGTCCCTCGTCTTTAAACACATGCGACAAGAGCAGATCAATTGTCAGTTTGATTTAATAAATTATACATACACTTTTAAGATATACAATGGTCATTGCATTATTCCATATCCGTCTTTCTTTTTTTTTTTAAGACAAAGTCTGCGTTCAAAGTATTTACACATGTACAATTATCAGGCAGCACTTTACAAAGCAAGGCATGAACGACAATGCAGATGTTGAGCTTCAAATCAAACTGCTACCCATCACCCTCATGGGGGGTTTCTCAGCTGTCCCATGATTATAATACATCTTCCCGTCCCTCGAGGGGGAACTCAAGAACGATATCCATCAGATCCACAGATTGAGGTCCACGGACTGAGGGGAAAATCTAAATGAAGGGTGAGGTACAGGAGACAGGATGTACGCAGGGTGCAAACATGTGGCAACGAGTGACACAAACATCTACTCTGCGACGGGGATGGGGGGGGGCGCCGAGGCCGCTCTGCCAGATTTACGCTCGTAGTTGACAAGCCTCTGACCAACCAGGTACCTGTGGAGAGGAGGGTCACCGTTATAATCACCTTTAAATTACAAACGGTGTCTACAGGTGTGTCGACGCTAAACGACCCTGTAAAACTTACTAGTCTAAAATACCCTTTATACATCCCTCCCGTACTTATGTTTATATAATATTGTAGATTCAACATGTATATTTCTGTATATATGTCTTTTATGCTGCTGCAACACAAACATTTCCCACATTGGGATCAATAAAGTACTTCTGATCTTATCTCTTATGTTATAAAGTCACATTTTTATAACAATTAATAATGATAAGGCCATTTTATGTGATTACTTTTAGGGGTCATTGTTGGCTTAAAATAGAGTGAGAATATGATAATGTTTCAATCTTTGGGAATTAAAATAGATCAGATCAGAATAGGGCTGCTCAATTAATCACGATTCCGATTATGGCTTGCAACGATTACGAAAACGTAATCGAAATAAAACGATTATTTTTTTATTATTATTGTTACTTTTCTTTCAGTTGAATTATACTTTAAGTTCAGGGAAATCAACTGTTAAAAACATACTGGCAAAAAAGATTTCTCCAATAAATGGATGTTTTCAAAGTCAATGAATAATCGCATTTAAATTATTGACCCAAATAATCGAGATTATGATTTTTGCCATAATCGAGCAGCCCTAGATCAGAAGTACTTTATTGATCCCAATGTTGCAGCTTCATACAAAGACATGGCATCGAACAATACAAATTAAAAGACTAGAAATAAACAAGAAAGTAGAAAATATACATGTTGAATTTACAAATTAACAATAACAAGATATAAAGCAAGTTATTATATATACATTAGTATGTGAGGGATGGAATATTAAATATTAAACTGAATATATAGATGTAAAATGTGATAACGTATTATGAAATGCTTTTTTCATTATTGTTATTAAGCATATTTGTTATGTTTGCTAAAAACTATAATTATACAGTGCTACAAGAAGATCATAACGCATTATAAGTATGTTTAAGATAATATAAAAGACGCTCACTTGTCGTTCTTGATGTGTTCATAGAGGCGTTTGAACTGTCGGATCTGGAAGGACAGGATGCCGATGAGCGAGACGATCATCAGGAGGAACGGGTAGATTCTCCTCTGCATCAGGATCTCCATCTCTGGGGTCACTCCTGCAAAACACATGAGCAATGCTTAGTTACAAATGTATCAGTGAACAGCCCATTAGCTAACACTGTAGACCAGGGATGGGCAAATGGCGGCCCCCACCTCCTCTTTTTGCGGCCCTCAGATTAATTTATAAAGAACGTAATTAATTAAAAAAAATTATTAAATGTTGTTATTGTTTTACTTGTAGTACTGATACCGTCCACTAGACTCCTAGTTACGTCGCGAGCTGCGTACGTGATTTTGTCTGGCAGCCAAATACCGCAAAATAATCGGTATTTAGTTACAAGTTACTGCTTGTAATTATGCCGTTACAAACTTAAAGGTTGTTTTTATCATCTGAATTTGGCGAAAGAAGTTTAATATTCTAAAAACCAAGACTTTGTTTATTTGAAATCAGATGAAAACAAACTGTCACGGACCCTGCCGTGTTATCTAGGATTACTATACGCCTTTCATTCATAAATTCAGCGGAGGGGGAGCGGTGCTGAGGAACAGAGTGCGGGCTGACAGGGGTCTGTGTTGACACTCCCCTTATTGTGTCTTAGGTTCAAGTTAGACAACTAATGTCTGGGGTAGTGTTCATGACTTCATGGTTAAGTCATCTTAATGGTTAATCTCAATGCACACATATTTTCCGTGCTTTCCAATAGTTTAAAAATAGTTTTATTCCACTGTTTAATAACCTGTTCAATACAAACATGCCACTTGTAAACATTAAATAACATTTCTGATATTTGCTTAGTGAGCTTCTTAGAGGATGTTCCCTGAGAGATTGTAAAATGTCAATGAAGATGTCAGACTTAATTTGTTAATAATTACATACAATACATGGAATTTGTGTGTGTGTGCATTCCAAGTAAGCCGCGGCCCCCTGGTGGCCAGTAAATACATTCTGTGGCCCCCACCACCATCCAAGTTGCCCACCCCTGCTGTAGACACTGCAACAGTCATCTGGATAAGGAACACGATAGTATCCAATCCAACATTTAAAAAGTGTTGACCAAAGTGCTGTACATCAATAAATATATATAAAAAAGCAGCATAAATAGATTTAGACAAAACCAATATGACAAAAAGAAACGCACGAGACAATAAAACCAAACTTATAGCCACAGACATGATGTAAAAACATTTTAAAACACAACAAAATAGAACACTCCAATTTAGAAAACACAGACTGATACGTCTTATACGTGGTCTGCAAAAGCACGGGAGAACAAGTAGGAGCCTCCTGGAGAAACCTCTGTAATGTGGATTTACTTTGCAATTCAAGGCACATTCACAGCAGGATTCATCGAGTGGAAACTGTCGCAGGTTACTCATATAGTTTCCAAAAGAAGGCGTACCTATTTCTGTAAACCAAGAGTTCTCTACATAAAGTGTTCGCAGAGAAGAGTGTCATGGAACCTGGGATTATTTAAAGACCAAGGGGACAGAAAATGCAATGCAATATTGTGTCAGGTCAGAGGTCAACTACGCATGCAGTTTTGAGCAGCAGATTCTTAGTATCGAGGGCATTACTCTATCGACCCCTTTGTTGCAAGCTAATGCGTCTCTTATACTGTATATATATATATATATGTGATTTCAACCAACTCTGTGTCTGCGTTTTATTGATTCCTCTTTGTTTTATTCTTTAATGTTGAGTGTTACAATCGGATCCGTGACAAAAGCCTTAAACCCAGAAGGTGGAATAAACAAACTAATAACCAGAGGTGGGAAGTAGTGGAGTACAAATACTTC